CTAACATTACCAACGAACACAGCTAACATTAACAACGAACACAGCTAACATTAACAACAAACACAGCTAACATTAACAACAAACACAGCTAACATTAACAACAAACACAGCTAACACTACCAACAAACACAGCCAACATTACCAACAAACACAGCTAACATTAACAACAAACACAGCTAACATTAACAACAAACACAGCTAACACTACCAACAAACACAGCCAACATTACCAACAAACACAGCTAACATTAACAACAAACACAGCTAACATTAACAACAAACACAGCTAACATTACCAACAAACACAGCTCACATTAACAATAAACACACAGAGATAATTAATGACGTTATTATCATTTTGCCTTCAGTGGCAGGTAATAAATAAAATATCAGTCCAAACAACTGCACTGTTTCATTGTTTTAATTTTAATCTGAAATGACAAACAGATGAGGCAGAGCAAACTGCAGAGTCCAGTAATATAACCAGTGTAATGAGGCCGACTGTATTACAGTAGGGTTACAGTTACACTGTACTGCAGGTTGCTAAGTGAGGTGCATTAAAATCCAAAGCAAACGAATACATATGAAGCACATATTCTGCCCAGCAGGGAAACTGGAGACCCTCTGACACTCAGCCGCTCATCAGCAGATTTAGACGGAGGCCTGTYTTGTCTTCTCAGCAGCTCTGCAGCGTTTATCCTTTTACTCGTTCACATAATCACACTTACTCTTTTTATAGACCCTGATAAAAAGGTGTTCGTTCCAAGGACTGATGGTAAAGAAACACAATTGTCTGACTTTAATTATATTACTGAAAGTAGGTGGGATGTACTTTCATTCAAAGCCAAACACAATAAAGCTGAAGTGAGACTGTATCCCAGATGGCGAGCTGCAAGTTGCTTATCTAGGATTTGCTTGTCATATGATGCGGAATAAAAGGGCATTTGAGGATTTGAGGCCAGACATGACAGAAAAAAAAAATGACAGTGACTGAAACTTTAAACTGAGCTTTCAACGACTCAGAGAATCCTGCAGGAGGCAAGGGTTAGAAAGGTTTTATTGAAGTGCTCGACAAGTTTAATCTGTTCTGAGATATAAACTGAATTATCAATAAAATAAAACTGAAACTGTGTTTGACTCCTTATCACACACATAACATCTAAACCTTAAAAACAGTCATTTATCTAATGATGTTTAAGAATACTTTAAAAGTTGTGTTTGCATTGAGGTGAGATTTACTGTATGTCACTATCTGTATGGCAGGCCATAAATGTGACCCATCGCATCGAAACGAGGATTAAAAGACCAAAATTATGTGTTTCTCAGGCACATATTTAAATACTATACCATAAGAAAGTATCTATGTCA